ACAGCTACATAAAAGTGGAAAATTAAAATAACTTCAACAAAAGTCTCTTAGAATCGCTTCTAAAAATATTGTATAAGACGTAGTGCAGATGTACGTCAAGGATTCAAAGATAAAGCGGCAAGAATGGAAGCCAAACAAGTGATGGCGGTTCAGTAACAATAAAAAGATGTGAAAAAAAATACGCACGAAAATTGAAATGTAAAAAGTATGCAAACAAATAAATACGTAAAAATCCGTGATATTCTCATAGAAATATGTATGTAAGTACTTTTTGTACGCGTCTTATTTTTACAAAGCACAAAATGCAAAGCGTCACGCGGATTTCATGCATAACCGCAGAGAGCACGTGATTTTTTTCCGTTTGCTTTTTTCTTGATTTTTTTGTATGTTTATTTCTTTTTCTATTAGCATAAAAAGTTGCCTTATAAAAAGTTAATTTGAAAAACGGATGAAAGTGTTTTTGAAGCCTTAGAGAAACGCAAAAGAATTGCAGAGTGTAGTGGTGAAAAAAAAGCAAATAATATTCATACATGTCTGCAAAGATACAGACATATGTACATACTAGCATAGAATAAATGCAAATGCATATCTATAACATTCATGTGTTACGTATACGCAGCGTAAGCCGCGGTTGCTAGGACGACTAACCGCCAAAGCGCTGTGATTATATTGTCAGATTATTTATGGATATACAAACTTAGAAAAGTAGTTTTTACAGTCAGTTTCAGCAAATTAATGCAAGTGAAAAATGATTTTTTATTTGGATTTAATATAAAAACTGACATAAGGGGAACAATTATTCGTATGCATGTACATATATTAGACTGTCCCAAAAAGTTTTTTTTTTCTGAAATGTCCCGAAATGTAGAAATGTAGGTTTTTAAGGCACTTAAGCTTGAAAAAGGCAAAACGAGCTTCAAAAAAAGGCAAAAAAGGCATATATTTTTTTAATTTTGTTATGTACTTCCTTTATGTAGATACAATGTGAAGGTCCAATTAAAGATATATAAAAATACATACAGTGGTGAAAAAATTATAACCGAACCACTTTTTCCCAAGTTTTAACGTATTATATTTGTTGTTATTGAACTTTTGTTATATTTTTAAATAAAATTATAGTTCGTTCTTTAACAAAACCCGTAGAAATCCATGTTTCCAAATTTGAGCAGTCCACTTGCAAAGGCGCTATGTATATTTTTTTAGATTTTTAGCTTTTGGTGAGTAACGTACCAGTATTTAAAGAAGTTTCATGCCCACTAACAATACAGTGCAAAATCTTTCTATTTTCTAAAAAAATAGCATCAAATGTTAACTGCTATTGCAAAAGTCGCTATAATACTTATGTATGTACATATTTATACACTTTCAAAAGTCTCCATCTTCTGATAAACTTAAAAAACTGTAGGAAAACGAGGTAGTTTCGGTGCCTAGTGGAAGGCGTCGCAAAAAAGAAGCTGACCAATCTTCATGGAAGAGCGAACGCGAAAAGCAAAAAAAGATAGCTATGTAAAAGTTACTGTTTCAAAACTCGCTATATTAAATTTTTATATATAAAATTTGCAAAAACTACCACACTGCCATATTGTTTTTTAATGTTATTAGGCTCTTGTTTATCCAAATTTTCAGATAATAAAGAGAAATATACAATTTGGATGTTACTTGTTGTAGACGTTTTTTTAATTTGTGGCTCACTATTATAAAATCGCATAACGCTGTTTGTAAGTGGACTACTCATTTGTGCAATATTAAAAAAAAATTCAACAAACTTTCGTACAAATTTCGAACTTTTAAAAATTCTAAAAAATCAATCGACATTTTTAGCCATTTGAAACGTGTACTTTATTCTACTAGAATTCAATGGGCTACAAAACTGCATACTCAGAATTTAATTAAAAAACTCGAAATTTTAACGAAAATTTGTAGAATTTTTTTTTTTTAATTGCATAAATTTTTAAGGCAGTGTCACTCGATTGGTACATTTGTACGGATTTGTAAATTTTTATATTGGGCTATTGGTAAGAAAAAAGTAGGACATTTTTTTTTTTGCATTCAAAAGATTGGTACAATACAGCGATGTTCTATTGAAAAATTTCAAAAAATTAATTTTCGTAATTGGGATAGTGAAAAATATTTTGGATGTTCAAACAATTGGGATACGATTTAGACCAAATTTTAGCAAATACCCAATCGTGTGACACTGCCTTTAAACTTGTATTTATACGGATGTTGGTAAAGAACGAACTATAAAAAACTAACCGAAATTAAATAACAACAAAAATAATATTTTAAAACTTGTCAAAATTTGGTGCGGCTATAATTTTTCGACTACTGCACATAAGTTGGCTATGATTACTCGGCCGTGCTATCATAGTAGCACAATGCCACTCATATTTGACTTACAAACAAACTACGGGCAGGAATTTCAAGATTTTAACCCCGTTTTTATGAAAAATTTTATTTTTATCAGTATATTTCTTTTAATCAAAATATGTTGAAATAAAAGTGAAATTTAAAAAAATTTTGTCATAAACCGAACCACCAAAAAAACTATAACTCAAAAAATAATTTTTATTTCTCAAAGAGAAAGTAACGCTCAGAAACCAAGCTTTATTTTCGATAAAAAAACTTAAAAACTTATCCTGAGTTTCGCCCGAAAAAATTCACCCGAACATTTTTCATCCGATCATAGTAAATACATGGAAAATAAATGTGAGAAGTGAACCGGTTCGGGGAAACTGAAACTCATGATAAGGCTGATTATTTTTGATGAAAAATATGAAACCCAAAAACAATGATTTTTTTTTTGATAAAAAATATTATATTAACTATATATAACTATTACCCAACGCTACAAAATTTTTTATTCAAATTAGATTTGAAATGGTTGAAGTTTGCACACTATTCGTTTGGCGGTCTCGCACACAAACTTATTGCAAACGAAAACTATTTAATAAACCTGTGAAAAATGCCACCTTTTGATCTGGCTACCGGGGTCATCAGCTCTGCAAAATAAATTAAAATTGACCAATTGGAAGAAAAACACAAAAGTATTCTCAAAACTCAATAAAACTAAAACTATTTATACTGAAAATTTTTTTTACTAATATTTTGATCGGAAAGCTTATAAAAAATGCTTTCTAAAGCAGACGTAAAAAACTAAAACGGAGCCCCTCTAAGAAGGAAAAGTTATAACAATTTTAATATTCGTGCGCGCGGTAAAAATTAAGATTTTGAATCTCTTCACAGACCTCAAAGAGGCTCACTAACACTACGATTTGGCGGAGTTGTAGCATAATTGGCCAAATAAAATTTTAGGCGGGTACACTTGAGGAATTTTTACCCTTATCCAGTGATATTGTGAAAAATTCAAAGATTTAATTGGGAACAAAATCGCAGCTGATCACTGCTGAAAAGGGTTGAATAGCAACAAAGGGCGTTGCAAACAGAGGTGTTTGCCTAAGTTTCAGTGGCAAGGTTTTAGGCATAGTTGATAGCCAATAACCGAATTAGTTTGAATTAGTAGGCCGGATTCTTCAAAAATATGTGTAAAATTTAGAAAGCTTTGGATAACCGGTATTAAATAAATAAACCTGCACTTATCTAATTTTAAAGTCAAGGGGTGCCTTATACATATCCTTAGCAATCAGCTATGAATATGATACTTTGGAAATCCTCTATCGGGCATTTGCTCAAGGACAATAGATTCTTTCAATTAATTTGGGTTTAAGATATTCTCTAGTATATTTGACGTTCAGTGCGATGCAATTGAATATCCTTTTCCACTATGGAACATTGTTGATATCATATTACAGTCTTAGTCACCTGAATAGCACACCCTTTTGATCCTCAGTATGTTCAGTTTTCCTTTTGTTTGTTTAATATTCATTAATTTTTATAAAAACACAGAATATTCTCCGTGTAAGTCCGATTTTAAAATGTTATGCAAATTTAACAAATATGAAAAATAATATATCGTCACTACACACGAATAAAGGCGCGTAAAAAAAATTTTGCGAAAAAAGATGCTTGTGAAAAACTTTGTGCGAAGAATGTTAAGAGTCTTTGACGCTGAAGTTTTTTTATGCGTCTTTTTTCGCCGTCAACTTTTGAGCTCGCCCATTTATTCGGGTCTAGTGACGATATGTGCTATTCTGCAAGTTTCAAGTTCCTACAGAATACCGTTGATTTTTTACATTTTCTTTAATTAATGGTGGTGCCCATTTTCTTCCATATAAGAATTTTGTCGAATATACTTTGTATAAAAAATCGCAAATGGACTACAAAACTGCATATCCGAAATTTTTCTAAAAATATTATTAACTTATTCACTGCAGGTCATTAGGACAGCGCACCCATTTTGGACTTTCTTTTAAATTTGTTGAAAATTTTAAAATCGGGTTTACACTAGAATATGCTTTAAAACAATTAATGAATATTAAATAAGCAAAAGAACAATAGTAAATACTAAGGATTAAAGGGGTATTACTCGGCTCTATCTGCTCCATAAAATTATAAGATGGCGTTAACCTAAAAGACATTGCCCCAGAGCTCATGGTGTTGAACTCCAGATCCAATAAATCGCGCGACTCTTTGAATATACATTTTTCTGCAATTCATCTTCTGATTTTTGTGTGTACTTGCATAAACAAGAGGCAGCATTAAAAAAAAATTAAGAAATTGCTTCTCCTCATTATTGCTTGTATATTTTTCAACTTTATTGTTTACTTTATCCACTTGCCGTATTGCCATGGGAATAATGTTTTTTTGCTACCATTCAAATAAAGACATTGCTTTGCCGCGAGAAGACATACAATTTCAAATGTTGCTCTAAGTATTCCGGTTATCGTAAGCAAATTAAAAACTTAGGAAGCGAATTTTACCTTATATACTTACATGCATACATACATACATATGCACATTTTTATATGTATATTTTGTGTTTAGTTACCAGAACGTGAAGAATCCTAATATTTGCGTTTTCTCGTTTTTTGTCGTTTTAGGTTTGGTTTAAGAATCGCCGCGCAAAATGGCGCAAACAAAAGCGTGAGGAACAAGAGCGGCTGCGTAAATTGCAAGAGGAGCAATGCAGTGGTGCTGGCAATAACACATCGACTGGGGTGGCTGGCGCCTCAAGCTTAGGCGCTGTTAACGGCACCGGTGCGGTAATGGCCGCTGTGGCGAATCTAAAGTGTGTCGCCGAGGATTATGCCAGCCAATTGAGTCATCACATTAAAACGGATCCTAATAGTTATAATAGCGATGCGGATGAGTCATCGGACTTGGAGGTGGCATAAAAGCATGCTACACATTCATTTGTACATACATACATGGCGTGTTGTAATTGTAGATATCCCTCCTAATTTTTAAATGAGATGTAAATTATAATTTTTAAGCAGTTAAAAAAGTAGATTTGGCGGCGATTAAATAGAATCAAAAGCTTCTGGTTGTAAAATTCGTAATCTATATTTAACAAATTGCAAATGTATACATACATATGTAGATATGTATGTTAATATATACTTAAGTGATTACAAACATATGAAGTTATTTGTCGCATTTAACACACTTTTTAGTATTTTAACTAATTTCGTAAAACCATCAAATTTTGTACATATGTATGTATGTTTCTGTTGTTATTGTATTGTGTTTGTTTGTTATAACGCCTTAAATTATGCTAATAAGTTTTGTAATGTATAAAAGTATGAATTAAAATGTTGGAGTGTGGTATTAATGTGATTTAAATTTTTCGTAAAACAAGATAAACAAATGTATTTAATTAATACTCGTAAAATAAGTGCGTGTGTGTCACATTTTTCAAAAATAATAGTTTAAGGCAAGAATTTATTAGCTAAAATATGCATAGTAGCATAGTAAATGTAAATTGAATTAACTAATGATCGATTGTAAGCATTAATTATAAAGCATAAACAAAATAAAATATGAATAACATTTAAAAATGGCTGGAATGTTTTTATTAAGGCAAATCAGATAACTAGTTATAATATTGACATAGTCGATAAAATCAAAAACTTTCATATTTACAGTTAATCGCACAGACAGGCGGTAACGTTGATCCGGATTAACGGCGCAGTTGATCTGAACAAAATTGTACCCTAACAGACTGCAGTAATGCCGATTAATGAACCGGGAGGTTGTGGGTTCGAGTCACACTGCCAGTAGAATTTGCATTTATTACATTATTGCAATTATTACTTTTAGGATCGGTTGTTCAATGTCTGGTTATCACTACCAACCTAGTTAGACATCATTATAGTGTGATCGATAAAGCAGTCGTTGTGTTTAACCAGTGCTTTTATCTCCGGTTTTGGCAACCGGGCATTGACTGAGTCTCAAATTTATCTTCCCGGTAAACTCGGCGGCTGCTTTATCGGCCACATGCATATAACAGGCAGTCGATAACGGTGTTTACGGTGAATATAAATTTAACAGGCATTCGAGAAAACGCCCCTTATTTTTTAATGTTATTTTATGTTATTATAGTTGGTGCGGACTATTTTTAATAAAATTTAACTCCAAAAAGTATAAAAGTCTAAGCCGTTAAATGGCAACAACGGGAGTTTTTAACCCTAATTCAAACAACTTCGATAGTATGTTCAGTTAGACTTAATGATATATTGTTGTATAGTTATATAAGTGGGTGGTATCACGCCCATTTTCCAAAAATTCCATAATAATTTTACTTTCCACAGGATTGATGTGAGTGTCCATTTTGGGTAAATTAGTGTCCTTAAATTTCGAAATGTCGAAGTTTAAGCATTTCTCAAATTTACTGTTATATGAAAAGTGGGCCCAATTTTTTTCAAAAATTATCAAGAATTTGCTTGTCAAAAGTGAAACTTCATTAAAAAATCAGGACGATTTAAGCGTGGACCAGGTCACCAAGACGATTTGTCTAAACCCAGGACAAATCTTGGAAAACCATTACGCTTTGATGGAATTTCAAAATATGTAACTAAAAAGCGTCCAAATGGCGCATACGTCAATCTTTTATCCAGGCAACGATGGGTATCTAAAAAACCTTCATCAAATTTAATACATTCCACTTAATCTCCTTAAGCACCATCTTGAAAAGGGGCGTAATTTTGCCCCATTTCATAAATTGGGAAAAAATTCATAAAAATTAGTGTTCCTTCGTAACTGAAAAACGTAAGCTTTAAAAAGTTTCATAACTACCATGTAAAGAAAGGAAATATTTTATAGGGCCTTTCTATATTTGTTTTCGTTATTTTATGGCCTTATAACAATTATATTCAACAATATTTAATGAGCTTGAGTTTGTTTTTAACCAAAAACCTTATTCTGGAAATGCAACAATAATGTAAAAAATGGTAGAAGTGATAGCTATTTCGGAAATCACCACATTTTCTCATCAGACTTCTTTCAGTAGGATTCGATCCGACGATCCCACTGACTCAGCCATTTGCCTACGCACTGTGCTAAGTTCGCCTTGTAAATTATCGTTGCCGTTGTCGTTGGTTAAAAAGGGCCTCAAGGGCCTTTCTATATTTATTATGGTAAATGTTTAGAATTGAAATACAGTAATTTTCACTCCACTTGTATTTCTAATTGGCATGAGTTGACACAGTTGACTATAAAATAACAATTATATATCGTCACTATACTAGGACTGCCAGACGTCCTGGTTTTCCAGGATTTATACTGGTTTAGACAAATTTTCCTGGTGTCCTGGTCCACACTTAAATTGGCGTGGTTCTTTCGATATGAAAAAAGGTTAAGCCTCCTATTAATAGAAATAATAAATCGATAACGAAACTTGTTTTCTAGCATGTTTAACAACATCTCGTGAGTTTATCTTCTTTCTTTTTAGTTTATTTTGTTAAAATCTTACGTTTTTATCTTCAGGAAAATGCCAAAATAGTGTAAATTCTGGACAGGTACACGGCTGAGGGGTCATACATGCTACGCAGCAGATAATTTCAGAAGCTAAAATCTCTCCCAAAGGCTTTTCTGAAAGCCATTTCTTTCATGGAATCGCGTAAATGCCTCGTAACCGCGTAAACCTTGAAAATAAACCGATTTTTCATAATAAATTAAGTAAGATAACGAGGTTTACATGAAGATTTTGGACGTATTTTTTCCTGAGCAAAAAAAAAACACGCATTTATTAATGAAAATCTAATTCGTCTGATGGATTCTATCTCTTGCCGATGTATAGCGTGGAAAGGGGTGAAAAACTTTGTTAAAACAAGTAAGAGCAGCGCTGTCTTCGGCTATGCCGAAGGGTTCATACCTTTCATGAACATCTGCAAATTTTACTTTGACAGATTACTGCTTTTGAATACATCTGCGTACATCGATAGAGGAGTTACATACTTATATAAAAAATCGCATCTAAACAATCAGAGGTATGGAAGATATACTTTATATGACACCAATCTAAGTGATTTTCACCGCTATGTGATCGGTATGTAAACCGGTAACACAATTTATTGGGTTTAGTTTCGTACATAAAGGAGATATATGGCAAAAACTGGTATCTTAACAATCAGTGCTATAGGAGATAAAGCTTATACAGCATAGATTTTGATGATTTTCTCAGTAGACTTTGTATTATTATTTATAAAATATCTTACGAAATTTATCGGTTTTAGCTGTTCAAATAAAGGAGTTTTACAGTAAAATCCCATATCTGAACAATCAGATGTATGGAAGATATATGTTGTAGTCATCCGATCCTTGTTATTTTCACTGTAAGTATTCTGTTAATAATGAGTGAAAATGGTGCGAAATTTCATGTTCCTAGCTGCATAAATGGAGGAGTTATGATAAAAGACCTCATATCTGAACAATCAGTTGTATGGGGGCTGCAGGTTATAGTGACCCGATCTTTGTTATTTTCGCTGTAAGTCTTCTGTTGATAATGAGTGAAAACAGCGCGAAATTTCATGGTCCTAGCTCCATAAATGAATGAATTATAACGAAAAATCTCATATCTGAACAATCAGTTGTATGGGAGCTATAGGTTATAGTGACCCGATCTTTGTAATTTTCACTGTAAGTATTCTGTTGATAATGGGTGCAAGTACTGCAAAATTTCATGTTCGTAGCTGCATAAATGGAGAAGTTATAATGAAAAATCTCATATCTGAACAATCAGTTGTATGGGAGCTATATGTTATAGTGGTCCGATTCTTCCGGTTCCGACAAATGATTAATACATTATAAAAATACACCCACCTACTAAATTTGATCCGGATATCTCGAAAACTGAGAGACTAGATTGCATACAAACAGACAGACAGACGGACAGACGGACATGGCTAAATCAACTCAGCTCGACGTTCTGATCATATAAGTATACATTTTCATGGGTCTATCCTTTTTGTTCTGGTACTTACAAACATCGGACCAAAGTTATAATACCATTTCATGCTCATGAAAGGTATAAAAATACCAGCGAAGAACATGGCGAACGACTCCACTAGGACCTAGCCATTATGGAGAAGTAGTACACTGAAGGAAATAATGCATAGCGAAAATGAATACATTATATTTGATTATCATTTAAAAATGTTCGTATTTAAAAATAATATTTTCATATTTCCACATCTGAGTATATACATATATGTAAGCGTACATACCCTAATCAACTAATTGAAAGACTACTTTAAATCAAAAGTAGTCAGTAAGTGTTTCGAATTTTGATACTCTCCTTAATCAAAGAAACAATTTGTGTCTTGGAAGTATGAAAAAGCATCTGTAAAGTGCAGAACGCAAGCGGATTCAAAAGAAAAAATCTGACTTTGAATTTGTTTAAACCAAATGCATTTTAAAGTAGCTGAAATTAAATGCAGAGCAGGACAGTCGACTTTCTGCTGGCACACAATTCAAACTGAACCTTTTGAGATCACATTTACATGTTCGGCCGTAGCTGGGAGTGTAGAGATGCTTGCTTTTACTTGTTAATTTGCAGAAGGTCCGGGTTCCAGTCCCAACGGAGACAACATGTGAAAATGATAATATTTTTTTGGAGTCTTTTCAATATGAAAAAGCATAATGTTTCTAAGAAATCTAATTAAAGAGCTTGAAATTTTGATGAAACTTTGTTGAATTTGGCTAATTTTTGTACAAAATTAGAAATTTGGAATTACAAAGTCTTTGTTAGATAACGAGCTACACTTCCAATAAAAAATTTTAAATTTAATAAACTTTAAATAAGCGAAAGGGGAATAGCCAGATAATGCTAAAATGTTTCTCCCTAATTATGTTTTCGCTACTGTATCTACAGCTTATATTTTTCAAATCCATGATTTTTTTTGAATTAATATCTATTATTTCTTATAATTGCACTAAATTCAAGTTATAATCGTTTAATTGAAAAAAAAAACTTAACAAACAATTTTAAAAACCTTAAAAAATGTGATAATAATGATGGACTAGAATATAGGGAGTGTACCAGTTTGACAGAATAAAACATAACCAAAGATCATAGAAAATAAGGATGTGGCTATATTTATGGGTCCCTTATATTCGATGTCCTTTGTGATAACGAAAAAGCTGCCAGGTTTGTACGAAAATTTGTTTTTGGGCCAGAGAACAGGGA